TCAAGTATTACTTCGTTCGGTGCATGTTACAAGTGTTCACTGGTGGGTGGGGGAGTGTTCACTAGTGGGTGGAGGGTTTGGGAGTGTTCTAGTGGGTGGGGGGTATGGGTGTTCACTAGTGGGGTATGAGTGTTAACTAGTGGGTGGGGGTATAGGGTGTTCACTAGTGGGTGGGGGGTATGGGGTGTTCACTGAGTGGGGGGGTATGGGAGTGTTCACCTAGTGGGTGGGGGTATGGGAGTGTTCACTGGGGGGGTGTGAGTGTTCACTAGTGGTGGGGAATGGGAGTGTTCACTAGTGGGTGGGGTATGGGGATGTTCACTGGTGGGTGGGGTATGGGAGTGTTCACTGGAGGGTGGGGTATGGGGTAATTTCACTGGTGGGTGGGGGTGTAGATGTTCACTAGTGGGTGGGGGGCATAAGGAGTGTTCACTAGTGGGTGGGGGTATGGGAGTGTTCACTAGTGGGTGGGGGTATGGGAGTGTTCACTAGTGGGGGTATGGGGTGTTCACTAGTGGGTGGGGGTATGGGAGTGTTCACTAGTGGGTGGGGAATTATGGGGAGTGTTCACTAAGGGGGTAAGAGTATTTCACTAGTGGGTGGGGATGTGGGAGTGTTCACTAGTGGGGGTATGGCAGTGTTCACTAGTGGGTGGGGGTATGGAGTGTTCACTGAGTGGGTGGGGGGTATGGGAGTGTTCACTGGTGGGTGGGAGGTATGGGGTCTCACTGTGGGGGATAGTGTTCACTAGTGGTTGGGGGGACAGGGAGTGTTCACTAGTGGGGGTATAGGTGTTCACTAGTGGGTGGGAGGTATTAAGTTCACTGGTGTGTGGGGTATAGGGGTGTTCTCTAGTGGGTGGGGTGTGGGGAGTGTTCACTGGTAGGTGGGGTGTGGGGTGTTCACTGGTGGAGTGGGGTGTGGGAGTGTTCACCATTGGGTGGTGGGTAGAGTGTTCATGGTGTGTGTGGGGGTATGGGTGTTCACTTGGTGGGTGGGGTGGTATGGGAGTGTTCAAGGTGTGTGGGGAGGTGTGGGGTGTTCACTGGTGTGTGGGGGTATAAGTGTTCACTAGTGTGTGGGGGTATGGGGAGTGTTCACTGTGGGTGGGGTGTGAGTGTTCACTGGTGTGTGGGGGTATGGGGAGTGTTCACTAGTGGGTGGGGTGTGGGGTGCTAGTGTGTGTTCATTGAGTGGGTGGGGTATGGGGTGTTTCACTGGTGGGTGGGGGTATGGGGTGTTCACTGGTGTGTGGGGCGGTATGGGAGTGTTCACTAGTGGGTGGGGGTATGGGTGTTCACTAGTGGGTGGGGGTATGGGAGTGTTCTACAGTGGGTGGGGGTATGGGAGTGTTCGCTAGTGGGTGGGGTATGGGAGTGTTCACTGGTGGGTGGGGGGGGAGTGTTCACTAGTGGGTGGGGTATGGGAGTGTTCACTAGTGGGGGGGGGTATGGGAGTGTTCACTAGTGGGTGGGGGGTATGGGGAGTGTTCACTAGTGGGTGGAGAGTTTTGGGAGTGTTCACCCTGGTGGAGAGGTATGGGGTGTGGGGGTATGGGGTGTAGTGGGTGGGGGATGGGGAGTGTTCACTAGTGGGTGGGGGGTATGGAGTGTTCACTGGTGAGGGTTAAGGGTGTTCACTAGTGGTTTGGGGGTATAGGAGTGTTCACTAGTGGGTGGGGGGTATGGGAGTGTTCACTAGTGGAGGGTATGGGAGTGGCACTTTAGTGGGTGGGGGGTATGGGAGTGTTCACTAGTGGGTGGGGGGTATGGGAGTGTTCACTGGTGGGTGGGGGTGTTGGAGTGCTCACCAGTGGGGAGGAGTATGGGAGTGTTCACTCAGTGGGTGGGGGTATGGGGTGTTACCAGAGGGTGGGGGTATGGGAGTGTTCACTGGTGGGGGTATGAGGGGTGTTCACTAGTGGGTGGGGGTATGGGGTGTTCTAGTGGGTGGGGGTAAGTGTTCACTGGGGTGGGGGGGTATGGGAGTGTTCACTTCTAGGGTGGGGGGTATGGAGTGTTCACTAGTGGGTGGGGGTATGGGAGTGTTCACTAGTGGGTGGGGAGTATGGAGTGTTCACTAGTGGGTGGGGGGTATGGGGAGTGTTCACTGGTGGGGGCAAGTGTTGCCTAGTGGGTGGGGGTATGGGAGTGTTCACTAGTGGGTGGGGGGTATGGGAGTGTTCACTGGGTGGGGTATGGGAGTGTTCACTAGTGGGTGGGGGTATGGGGAGTGTTCACTGGTGGGTGGGGGTATGGGAGTGTTCACTAGTGGTGGGGGGTATGGGGAGTGTTCAC